TTTTTTTTTTTTTTTTTTTTTTTTTTTTTTTTGAGACGGAGTTTCACGCATGTTACCCAGGCTGGAGTGCAATGGCGCGATCTCGGCTCACCGCAACCTCCGCCTCCTGGGTTCAGGCAATTCTCCTGCCTCAGCTTCCTGAGTAGCTGGGATTACAGGCACGCACCACCATGCCCAGCTAATTTTTTGTATTTTTAATAGAGACGGGGTTTCACCATGTTGACCAGGATGGTCTTGATCTCTTGACCTCATGATCCACCCGCCTCGGCCTCCCAAAGTGCTGGGATTACAGGCTTGAGCCACCGCGCCCGGCCATTACAAAGATTTTTAATGGGACATCCTCTGTTCTTACTGACAGTTTTAGATTTTCATACCTATTCCTCTCTGAAATAATTGTAATGTTTTGGCTTTTCATGAGAATTCCTAAGAGCATATGGTAGAAATACAAGCCAGCAATTATATTTTCTTAGCTGAACATGGGAAAAATTGTAAAAAGGGAATGTTGTGCTGGAATGGATAGGTCAGCTCAGTAATGGTAAAAAGGTTTTATGACTTGGAGCTAAATATAGAGTATTTTCTTCCTCTTTCCAGTTTTTTCTTACCAGAAGATAAAATACAGTACATTGGAAAATGTGTGACACTGGGATCAGGAAGGCTTGGGTTCAAATGTTGGTTTTGCCACTTAGCAGCTCTGAGTCAGAGTATGTCCATTTCCTCATCTATAAAATGGAGATAATTATGCTACTTACTAATGAGGATTTGTATGAAAATCAATCCTGTTCCTCTTTGAGATCTCAGTGTAGTCATCATCTCCTCTAAGAAAGTATTCTTGACTCCCTTCTCCCACAAGGTAAAGTAAAATGCCTTTTCTCTGTGCAAATTGCCACCACTCCGTACCTTCTTCCCGCTTCACATCAGAATTCTATGCTATTGCTGCATTTCTTACTGCATTAAAATTGCATCTGTGTATGCCTGTCACTCCCACCAGACTGTGAGAAATTTATAACTCTTATCTCTAACATTTAATAGAGAAACTGCCGATCAAAAATATTGTCTTACTAAATGTTTGTTGAGTGAATGAATGACATATTTCAAGTGCTTGCACCATACTTAAAACATTGGAAACATCAAATAATTTATTTTTTGACTTTATCATAAATACGGGGCTGAAAGTTTTATTAAAAACATTCATCTCTTGTCCATGATGCTGTAACTAAGAAATGTAAGGTTAGAACTGTTTTTTTGATTCATTCTAGGTAATTAGATAGACTGATGGGCATGGTTCATGGAAGGTTAAGACTTAACAAACTCGATGAATAGTAACAGGATGAAAATTTATTCAAACCTTTAGCCATAGTCTACGCACATGCATCAAGAAGGAAAATTAATTGTTTGACCCTTTGTTCCTATTTTTTGTAAATATGTAACTTGGCTGTGTTGATTTACATCCTCAAAGCAATGTATTGGCGATCTTTTGCATTTGTCTCAGCTGCCTTTTTTCACTGCATTACAAATGATGTTAATTCTGTGCTTAATTATGCTTAACATAGTTTATATGCAATCCAGTGTTTATCAGTTGGACATAGCAAAAATTCTGTTGTTTTTTTTCCATCTTCCTTCTGCTTATCATTTGATTTTTAAAAGCAGCTGGAATTGTTCCATGTGAATGGAAACAATTATAAGGCTGTACAGTCTTCTCTAAAGAGAAATATGTTTCTCTCTAGAAACCATCTTATATCAACTACAATCTTTGCTTTTGAAAGCGTTGATATATATTATCATGCAAACTTTTAACCTGATCTTTGCCGTCCTCTCAGATCAAAAGAAATCTCCACTCAGATTACAAAAACAAACAAACAAACAAAAAAACCCACAAAAAACCTTGCCACCCACTCAGGATTTTCCAAAAGCTAATGTATTCATCCATTGAAATAGAGCCTACATCTATCCAAATTGACTATGATAGCCAGTCACACATGTATTGATGTTTTAAGGAAAAGATAAATGTTTGAGATGAGGGATATGCAAATTACCCTGAACTGATCACTATACATCATATGTATCAAAATATCACTATGTATAATTAGTCAATTAAAAAATTTTTTTTTGTTTTATTTTTACTTTTTTTTAAAATGGAATGCTTCATGAATCTGCATGCCATTCTTATATAGGGGCCATGATAATCTTCCCTGTATTGTTCTGAGAGTGACAGGAGGCAGCCAAATGGCTAGGCAGATAGGGGAGTGTCCCCAGTGAAACCCCACCTCCAAGCTGAAACCAGCTTAAAGCCTGAAGCCAAGCTACAAGTTAAATCTTCAGACCTGATTGATAACTTGTCTTCCTGTTTGGCACACTTTCCTCTGACTGATCCCCACCCTTCACCTATTTCACGTATATCTACCCTTTCCTAATTGGTTTTCTATACTGTCAGGCCCCTCTTTGAGTGGTGTCTTCACTTTAACCTTTTTTGCTTACTCACAAACCAATCAGCACGCACTTCCCATCCTGTGCCAATAAGGACCGCAGACTCAGTTGGTAGAGGAGAAGGCAGCCTGACGTCAGAGAAGAGACAACTTAACTTTGGGAAAGACGACCTGCCCTTTTCATCCCTTCTCCAGCTCCCCTCTCTGAGAGACATTTTCATTGCTCAGTAAAAATTCTTCGCCTTCACTATCCTTTAATAATCCCTGTGGTCTCATGCTTCTCGGACTCTGGACAAGACCTACCGAGTATGGGGACCCAGAACGGGTGTCTGTCATACTGGCCCTTTGCCTTCGCCAGCAGGGGCAGCCATCCTATGCAATGAGGCAAAGGTCTAACTGAGCTGCTAACACATCGCTCTTTGTTGGACTGTGGACTGTGGAACGAAAAGTGCACTGCAATACCTCCTCTGGGGCTTCAGGGTTGAAAGCACTCTCACCCGGGTGCCTGCATTCCCCTTGAGGCAACACGCTTAGTCTAGCTGCAGGTTCCACTAGGAGCTTACTCCTGTGTCAGCACACAGAGCAACCAGCTAGATCCTGCACTCACTTGCTGAGGTGCTTCCTAACTGCAAGGGGCTGAGTGTGGTGGGCCAAGCAGATGGGGTGTCCCTGCCATGAGTCCAGGAAAGGGGTCAAGAAAAATCCTATATCAGTTCAAATTTTAGTATATGTGCTGCCGAAGTGAGCAAGAGAAAAAGTTGCTTAAAAAGCTCATGTTAATATAATGATTGGATATTTGTATCTTAGGTTCTGTTTTCTTTCTTCTTTTTTTTTTTTTTTCATTTGGAGTTTTATTTTGTTGCCCAGGCAGGAGTGCAGTGGTGTGATCTTGGCTTACTGTGACCTCCACCCACCGGATTCAAATGATTCTCCTGCCTCAGCCTCCTTAGTAGTTGGGATTACAGGCACCCACCACCATGCCCAGCTAATTTTTCCATTTTTAGTAGAGATGGGATTTCACCATGTTAGCCAGGCTGGTCTTGAACTCCTGACCTCAGGTTATCTGACTGCCTAGGCTTCCCAAAGTGCTGGGATTACAGGCATGAGCCACCACGCCCAGCCAGGTTCTCGTATTTTCAATTATTACATGTGTCTTGGAAGTTGAAAAGGGAGTAGCTTTTGTTTAGTATTTACTTTATTATTTGATTTTTTATTGCCATTTTTATTTTAAATTCAGGAGGTATATGTACAGGTTTGTTACAGGATATATTGTGGGTTACTGAGGTTTGGTCTTCTATTGATCCTATCACCCAGATAGTGAACATAGAACCCAAAAGGAAGCTTTTTAGTCTTCTACGGTACTGCTTTTGGAGTCTTCACTGTTTATTGTTCCTATCTTTATGTCTGTGTGAACCCAAGATTTACCTCCCACTTATAAGTAAGAACATGTGATATTTGGTTTTCTGTTTCTGCATTAGCTCGCTTAGGATAATGGCCTCCAGCTGCATCCACGTTGCTCCAAAGGGCATGATTTAGGCTGTATAGTAGTCCATGGTGTATATGTACTACATTTTCTCTATCCAATCCTTGGTTAATTCCATGTCTTTGCTATTGTGAATAGTGCTTCAATGAACATATGAGAGCATTTGTTTTTTGGGTAGAATGATTTACCTTCCTTTGGTATATACTCAGTAATGGGATTGCTGAGTCGAATGGTAGTTCTCTTTTTAGTCCTTTGAGAAATCTCCAAACTGCTTTCCAGAGTGGCTGACCTAATTTACATTTCCACTAAGCATTTCCTTTTCTCCACAACCTTGTCAACATCTGTTGTTTTTTGACTTTTTTTCCTCTGTACATAGTGATGACTATTTAATAATAGCCCTTCTGACTGGTGTAAGATGGTATGTCATTGTGGTTTTAATTTGCAACTCTCTGATTATTAGTGATGATGAGCATGTTTTCATGTGTTTGTTGGTTGCTAGTGTGTATTCTTTTGAGAAGTGTCTGTTTATGCCTTTTGCCCACTTTTTAATGGGGTCGTTTGCTTTTTTCTTTTTGATTCATTTAAGTTCATTATAGATTCTGAATATTAAGTCATATGTGGATGCATAGTTTGCAAATATTTTCTCCCATTCTGTAGATCGTTCTGTTGATCATTTGTTTTTGCTGTGTTTAAACTCTTTAAGTCCCATTGTCTTTTTTTTTTTTTTTTTTTTGAAACAGAGTCTCCCTGCATCACCCAGGCTGGAGTGCGGTGGTGTGATTTAGGCTCACTGCAACCTCTGCCTCCCAGGTTCAAGTGATTCTCCTGCCTCAGCCTCCTAAGTAGCTGGGATTACAGGTGCCCACCACTACGCCTGGCTAACCATTTGTCTATTTTTTATTTTGATGCATTTGCTTTTGGGGTCTTCATCATAAATTTTTGGCCTAGGCCAGTGTCTAGAAGAGTATTTCCTAGATTTTCTTTTAGAATTTTTGTAGTTTGAGGTCTTACATTTAAGTCATTAATGCATCTTGAATTAAA